GAAGAGAGAAGAGAGAGAGAGAGAGAGAGTGAGTTGGCTCGTGTCGGGGCTGGCTTCCGGAGGGACGAGAGGGAGGGACGTTCAGGCAGGTACGTTTTCCACCAGAAGGGAAACCCTCCCACCCACCCCCCTCCTCCCCTCCCCCCTCCTCCCCCTCGCCCGCTCGGAAGGCGTGAGCGGCGAAAGCTCCGCCTGCAAGCTCCGCTCTCGGTGCACGCCCCGCCCGCCCAGCTTCAACCACCCACCCACCCACTCACCCACCCACCCGTCCACCCATCCACGAGCCGGCGAGTCCTGGAAAATAGCCCGCCGCTAACCGTCCGTGTCACCGGTCTGAGAGAGAGAGAGAGAGAGAACTCCCTCCACGGTTTAAACCGTGATCCGTCGTCGTCGTCGTCCCTCCATCCCCTCCTTTCTCTCCTCCCCGCGGTCTCCACCCTTGAGCGCAGCTTGTGGAATTCCCCGCTTTGCACACAGATTGCATCCGCGGGTGCAATCGTTACCTCGCCTCGAAAAGGTCCTTGCTCCTGCTTTCCAGCAGGAGGGGTTGGAAGAAGAGGAGGAGGAGGAGGAGGAGGGTGGTTGGAGAGGATGGTTTATTGGCTTCAACGTTTGCGAGAGAGGAGGTGGATGGTTTCGAATGTATAAATATGGGGGGAAATTGGTAGGATTATTTATTCGGAGGATTAAGATCGATCGGAGGAGAGACGGGTTCATCATTGGCAGGATTAATCGATTCGTTGGTGCGAAGAGTGGAAAAGGTATGAGCACGTTTCAAGAGAGGCGAGGTTCGGAATATTGGATTTGAAAAGTGTGGAATGTTGTATCCGCGAATCTTCTACCCGACACGTCGCCGCGAATTTCGCCGCCCGCGATCCACCTATACGGATAAACTAACTCCCCCTCCCTTTATCCTGTTTCGAGGGCAAAATTTTATGAGAGGGAATGTTGGGAAGGAAAATCGAGTACGAGTTTAAAGAAACGGGAAATTCGAAAATTTAAATTGCGAGAGAAACGACGATACATATATTATAAATATATATATAAGAGTACGGGTTAATGATATTTAATCGGTTGGTCGATCGCGATAATTACTTCCAATCGTACGTTTCTTCTTTCTTCCTCCCCTCCCAATCACGAATGTTATTTCAAAGTTGTCCCATTTATGAAGCGACGCGTTGAACGCGCACGTAACACATATATTTTTCATAAATCGAAAACAGGGAAAGTCGTTTAACCCAGATTGCCAGGGTGGTTATCGACGTGTTCGATTTATGCGCGTATTTCATATGGAAAAAAAAAAAAAAAAAAGAAGGAAAAGAGAGAAAGTCGATCGGTCAATTTAATCTGGAAACCGAGCTTTCGATAGGTTGGACGAGGGGTATTACATTAGGTAATCTCTAGGATTAGACCATGTTCCATCGATCTATTATTCGCCTTGCGACGTTTCTCTCTTTTCTAGAAATTTCTCGTGCCGACGTTTTCCAACGTTCTTTCGAAATTTTCGAAAAGGAAAGCCTTATCCTTCTCGATTCGTCAGATTAATTTTCCCCATCCCCATCAATTTACGTAATAATCCTGTTTGTAACCGATTTGAACGGGCCGCGCGACGTTTCGAGCAATGGTTCGGTAAGCAGGTGAAACCGTACATGGGCGGCACGCGAGGCCCGCCAATGGAATGTCAAACCGTTTCTCGAGGAGAGAGAGAGAGAGAGAGAGAGCGGGGAAAAATTCGCGGCTGTTACAACACGCCTTCCTCCGCGCATAATCCGTGCGCGAGGCTCGCCTCGAAGCGTTAATCCCCCCTGTAAGACGCATCGTTATCTCGAACGAACAAATTCAGGAATCGTTCGAATAGGGGATAGAAAGTTGTAGTATAAACGGTATAAGTTGATCGATCGATCGACGGAACAGTCGGAGAAATGATCGTTGTAGTTTTCGAAATAACTCGACTCGAATCGAGACACGAGGATTTTCTCGAATAATCGGATCGAATGATGTAAACGCGCCAATATTGTTTCTCACGCGCGTTGCAATAATAAAATGCGCATTGGGATATCGACGATACCTACGATACCTACGAGAAGAATAAAACGTGAAGAGAGAAAACTTACTTCCTTTGAAAGAAAGAGACTCGTCCACGCCTCGTTTAAAAACGAAACGAAGGAATCCCTCGAGATATTCGAAATTCTTTCCTTCGTTCCTTTGTCGAGAAACGACGAACGATGGAAAATTGTCGGCGGCCGGCCGGCGAACCGAGAGGCCCCTGGAAAACGGCCACCGCGACTCGTCCCTCTGCCTGCGGTGTTGCGGTACACACAGGTGCAGCGGTGTACGTGCATCTTATCTGCAGACACACCCCTCTCGCTCGGCTGAAAGTGGTTCACGGTTCACGAAGGGAGGGGGAGGAGGGAGGAGGGAGGGGAGGGGAGGGTGGACGGACTGGTGGTCGGGGGTGGGGGTCGAATTAGTCGGAAGGGAGGAGGGGTTGGATCAAAGGGAGAGGGAGATGGCCGGAGGGAAGGCGAAGGGAAGGGTGAACGGGACGAAGTGGAATGGAAATTTGGGATTTCGATGGAAAAGAAGGAGGAGGAGGAGGTTTATTATTATAAAAAAAAGGAAGAAATTTGGAATTCGATCGTTAATTCTCCTCCTTTTTCGGTTGTTTCGAAAAAGAGAAAAGAGGGAGAGACAGAAAATGATCGTGAAGGAAATTCGAAGATGATTTTCGATTTGAAGGGAGAAGAATCGAAAGGATAGAAAGATGGAAGGAAGATGAACGAGTACACAGTTTTTCCTTTCGATTTTTTAATTTGAAATAGAAGATAGAAAGGACAAAAATGGAAGAAACAAGTAATTACCTTAATAAAATTTGATTTTCAATTTGGAAAGAAGGAAAGAAACGAGACGAAGGAAGAAGCGCACAAACGTATCCACAAACAAATCCTTAAAAACCGAAAGAAAGAGTGAGAAGCAACGATCGAATTTCCATCACGATTAAAAAAACCGAATGAGATAAACAACTAGAAAAAAATCATTTCCATCTCCACAATTTAAAACCATCATTAAAAAACCTACTACCGAAGAACAAAAGGAGCAAGAAGAAGACTAAGAAGCAGTGAAACGATCGAAAGCAGCGAAACAGAGAGAGAGAGAGAGAGAGAGAGTGAGAGAGAGAGAGAGAGAGGAAGAAGAGGAAGGAAGGAAGGAGGGGGAGAAGAGAGAGAATCGCGCGGATGACGAAGGTAAGTTCCGGATGGTTTGAGGGTGAACCATCCGAGTGAGCGAGGACCATCCTGGTCCTCGACGGTGGGCGATGGTAGCCGGCGAGGTGGTGGGGTGAGAGCGACGGGGGGTAGGGCGTCGCAGGGGCAGAACCAGCGCCGCGACGCTTCGCCACGCACAGTCGCGGCTCGAACGCCGTACCATGCGAACGTGTTGTTCTCGTCGGTTCGCGTGTCGTTGATACGTCCGCATACACACGTACATTCATACATATACATATATATATATATATATATACTACGTTTTTTTCGTGCTCCTCCTCCTCCTCCTCCTCCTCCCTCCTCCTCCCCGTCGCGCGTTATGTTCAGGATCGGTGTCGATTTCAAGGAGGCAGCAACGATCGAGATATCGGGAGAAATCGTTCGAGGCGACGCGTGCTTGCGAGTTTCGTTTCTGTTTTGTTCTGAATCGGGGGAGGGGAAAAGAAAGAAAAGGAAGAAAGAAGGAAAGGAAAGATAGACCGAGAGATCGGTTCGTTTCCCTCCCCGAACTTTCGTCCTCGACGATGAAACTTTACTCCTCGTTTCTTCTTCGTCCTTCTCCTCCTGTTCCTCTTCCTTCTCTTTCTTCCTTCTTCATCTAGAACACGATTATTACTACTCGGTCGAGTGGATTTTACGATCGTAAATTCGAAGGGAAGACTTGTTTTCTTTTGGAACCAGTGGTTGATCAATTTTCACGAGTGGTATTTGTTGTTATATATACATACACACATTGTACACGCAGTGTCGGTTTTTGGTTTCTTCGGTACGAAAGTGAATCCTCGAAAGAGAGATTGTATTTGTAATTGGTGGACAGATATCGAGATCTCGCGCACGCCAACGAAAACTGGGAACACGTGTGTGCGTATCCGATCTAGTCAACGGCACGGGTCTGATTGTGCGGATTGTGTTCGCTCGATTAATATTGTAACAATAATAAAAGCGTTAATCGACAGGTTTCGATAATAACCGGATGAAAACCCGAGGCAAACTATCACGGGATGAATAATCGTAATAGTAATCTCGAGATACGAAAAGTGTAACATCGCTCTTGCAATCGGATGTGTGAAGAAAATCAACCTACGTATATATACATACACATAGAATACGAAAGAAACGATATGCAATTGTGCGAATTCGAGAACTTTTCGTATCGACGTTCGCGCGTTATTAAAGAATTTTCCTTGGAATGATAAATCAGAGTGACGATCGATGATAACAATCGGAGGGGAGATCGAAAAAAAGAAGAGAGACAGAGAAGAAAGGAAAGAAGAAATGGCGGCGACTTCCCAGCCCAGGGATAATTATTGAGGGACACTCCGCGAGGGAATGGATTTTCAGAGCGCTATGGACACGTTCGTAGAGGCATGGATGGCTGCAAACACGAAAACGGATCAAGTGCAGGTATTCCTCCGATTCCTTATTCTCGACTCGACTCGTGTTGGAGAAGGATCGTTGACAGGTTAACCGTTGAAAACTAACCTCTCCCCCCCCCCCCCTCCTCTCAACATTACACAGCCAATTGGCCACCCTACCAATTTCCGCCCTCCTGGTTCCACCTCGACTCCTTGCCTTGACTCCTCTTGCTTAAACTCTCCTTCCCCCTTTATATTATCAATTTGCGCGACCCACCACCACTTTGCACACCTTCTCGAGAATCTTTATGCCCTCGTTCGCAAGTTTGTGTTTCTTTCGAGCAAGAAGGTCAGGCTAGGTTTCGAAATACGAATGCGAGGGGAGGGGAGGGGAGGGGATAATCCTTGGTAAAACCGCGGATCGTGCGTGTTGCATACGCGGGTTTACACGTGTACGTGGCAGGGGGTCACGGGTTCTGGCCACGATACGGATGTGCCCCTGCCTTCTTCCTGTGAGCGCCCACCACGCTCTCGCGTTCTGGCATTCGACGCGATGGAACGCCGCCTCTCCATTCATCTCTCTCTCCTGGCACCCGATATATCTATCTCCTTCTTTCCTTCCTAAAACTTTGCTTCGAAATAATCGTCTTTCTTCTTCTTCTTCTTCTTTTTTTTTTAAAAAAAGTCAAAACGAAATCTTCTTCTCGAGAGAAGAGGAGGGGAGGGAAGAGTGATTAGAGTGTAGATTATTTTTTTTTTAAAGGAGAAATCGTCGTTTCGAAGTACCGTGGAGCAGACGAAATGTATTTCTATACGGGGTTCGGCCCCTCCCTTCCCTGCAACGCTCGGGACACACGGTGCAACACAGGCGTGTTCCGCTTCCGCTCTTAAAAAATCGAGGGGGGACGTCGATGTCAGGTATACACTCGTATTGCACATCGTGGGTACAATAAATTTCTACCTCTTTCTCTCCTGCCCTGTATTCGCGTGATAACTAGATATCTAAATATCGTAAATATCGTGTGAACGAGAGAAGAAAATTACACGCGAGATCTTTCTTCGTTTCTTTCTTCTTTCTTGCTATATACTCGCGATAATTAGACGTGTACATACAACGCGTCTAAATTGGGTATAAACAAGAGGAAAAAATTGTACGCGAGTATAATATCAACAATGTACCAGTACTGACTTGATGGTGACTTTTTTAAATTTCCACCTCTTTCCTATATTCACTATATAACTAGACATCTACACACACATCCAAATCGTGTGTTTATAAATAGAAAAGAAGAAATTGTACACGAGTATCTTTTAATCGTTAAAAACAAATCGTTAACTTTTTACACTACTCGATATTATATGCTTCATATATATATATATATATATATGTATATGTATATAATGACCTAACTTAATTACCAACGAATAGAATACTTTTTTCTACACACGGAGACACGGCTTCCTCGGTTTAACACCGAGGGATTAAGACCTTAAAGATAAGAGAAAGTATGTAAGAGGCGGAGGGTGTTCCAAATTTCACCGCACAGCGTAGAGAGAACGAATTCCCTGAGAAGATAAAGAAAGCTTGCCTATAAATATATATATATATACATTATTTTCCACGTGTGGAAGGTGCGTACGCAGGAGTATATAGGAGGCACGCATGGTCACGGTATTTGACCACCCCAGCTACCGGAATGATTGTAATCCATCTATCCGGCCGCAGAAGCCGATACGTCAAACAGTTCGTGTACACGCACGCACACACACGAAGAACTGTGTTTCTTTTCTCTTTTCCCCTCTTCGTTCTCCCCTCTCCTCCCCTCCCTCGCTTCCTTATCCACCTTTACTCCGCACACGGGTTTATCTCCCGCGATCGTGGTGGATATCTTTATTAATATTTATGACAATGTTGCGATATTTACCTTTACAACGTCGTTTGTCTGGTTAAAATGTTTCGTCCCGTGATTTATTTCCCCGGGCAATATTTACGCGTATTTATTATTATGTTTCACTTCGGTTACACCAACGTGTAAAAAGCCGTGTTATTTATGTATTTCTTCTTTTTCTTTTTTTTTTTTTGTTCTCCTCTCTCTCACCCTCCCTCCCCCCCCCCTCGCCTCTTTTCTTCTCGAAAATTAGTAAACCGCAGCCATTTTTTTTCCCCCAAATTAATTAGATCGAACTGTGAATAAATATTGATTCAATTTTTCGAATCGAAGGGGAAAAAAGTGTTCAATATTTAAGACAATTTTTCAATAATTCGTTGCGATCCTTCGTTTGCAATCGTTGTTTCGGTGATACGCGTTAAACGATAAATCGAAGCGATAATCTTTCGCTTCCCCCCTCCCCTCCCCTCCCCTCCTTTTTTTTCCTTTAGAAAGAACCAGAAGACATCTGGTAACACCGAAATTTACGTAACGTAAATTCGAGTGCAAGTATCAATCCGTGGATTATCTGTAGCGGGAAGGGGGGGGGGCCAATTATTGGATACGTGGATATCGGCCATCTGATATTTCGATAAGCCTGATTAGAATGTTGCACGATTAACCAGCGTAAAACCACGAAGACGTTTAATTCTATATATATATATATATTTATATTGGATAAAAACAGATATTACATCGCTCTGTGTTATTCAATCTCTTTCTCGTTGGAGATAAAATAAAAGAGAAAGAGAGAGAGAGAGAGAGAGAGAGAG